ACTTGAGGAACATTTTGAATGCAGGACTTTTACTGTAACAGAGTATTCCTACACTCTGGTACTTCTACTTTTACTCAAGTACACGATCTGAGTACTTCTACTTTACTCAAGTACAAGATCTGAGTACTTGTACTTTTACTCAAGTACAATATCTGAGTACTTCTACTTTGACTCAAGTACAATATCTGAGTACTTACTCCACCTCTGGTAGCGTATTAGCCTGAATTGTAGCCACAAAATCACGCAGAGCTGCATAAAAATAGACTTACAATGGTAACAAGTGGAAAATAATATTTACAAATGTGTACAATGATTTGTAGGTAATTTTGAGTACTCAAGACACCTGACTTATACATATTCAAAGGAAGACTGTGTTCATTCTACAATTACATGGGATTAAAGCAAAATGTAGTTTTACTTGTATAATACTTCCATTTTATATAAAAGACAGTTTGTTTTCATCTGTTTTCAAATAAACAAAGTATTGGCTTTCAGAATATTAAACTTGTTTCGGTAAATTCAGATGATAAATACAACTTTGAAGCTTGTAACGGCATAATTACAAGCAGAGAACGGACTAATGTAACATCACAGCAAGCATAACAACAGCCGGTGATTCTTGTAAGTGTTTCCCCGGTACACAAACGCAAAAATACACTAACACACTCGCGAGCTTCCCCCAGACCAGTAATACAAACGAAAATGTGTCTTCGGGTCAATGTGACTGATTTCGATAGAGCAAGTCACATTTGATTTAGGCACGAAACATACTACCAGTAGAAATACATTGCTTTCAAAATCACTCTGTGTCGAATCAATAGATTATATTTTGTGACTATAACACGAAATGCCGTGAGTGCTTCATCCTCTGAACACCACACGATGGCGACTGTAACGCACATAACATAGGTACGCTCCTCTGATTGTCCCCTGTAATTATTATTATCCCTCAATCGAGTTCGCTATTCAGCTCGCTAACGTTAGCTTAAACAAACGTAACATGCAACGTTAGCCTAATCTAAAATGCTCTACTGCGGCGTACCTTTCATGTGGCTCGTCAGCGCAGACTCTCGCATCGTTATTTTTGCTAACTTTGCAGGAGGCTACTCGTGGGCTTGACCCTTACCCATGGCTTGTATTCGTCTTCTGCTAGCCAACGCTCGTTGAAACTGCAACCTCCTGGTATACTGTCTGTCATCTATCACTCTCATCAGAATGCCCAGGTCACACGTAACACAAACACTTGTAGGTCGCGCGCATAGTGCGGGAAGGCCGCAGCGGAGCTGTTTTATGTAGGAGCGAAGCAATTATTTTCTTTTAATCTAAAAAGCGAACTATTCAGTCAGACAGCAATTTATTGTAAAAGTAAAGCATTTACATTTTCAAGCACTTTATCTCAATTTCAAGCACCATTCCCAAAATTCAAGCACTTTCCCAACCTTGAAAACACAACGTTAAATTTCAAGCATTTTCAAGGATTTCAAGCACCCGTACGAACCCTGGAATGATCTAACGCAGCCCCTCGTCCTCCACAATGTGAAGCCGTAGCCACCCATTTAGCTATCGCTGTTGTTGTCCAGGCGTCTCCCCAGCAAACTTTCAAGCGTGGTCTGCTGCAAGCGAGCGGCAGGAGCGGGGCTGTCAGCATCAGCTGTGTGCTTGGCTTGCTGTTTAAAAACACCTTTTTTTTTAATCTCCCACCATCCAACTAACGACAACAACAACGTCAAGCCTTTGGGCTATGAAACTACGGGGCGGCCAGAGGACAAATAAACTACGGTATACAATAATTAGTGGCGTGAAAAAAAAAAAGGTGCGGTAACGCGTTAACTTGACAGCCCTACTAAAAATATTAATTTAGTATTCTCCAGACACACAGTTCAATCCATTTATTCTAGCTGTGCTTACGATTAACAGATTTCAGTTTAATAATTTGTGGTGCGTTCTTCTTACCTTCATACTAAGGCTGGTCTTGGAGCCAGTGAATGAGAGCACCTTGATCTTGACTCTTTGGCCTTTGCTGACAACATCAGCAACGTTGGCCACACGGCCCTCTCGGCGCAGCTCGGAGATATGGACCAACCCCTCCCATCGTTTCCTGCATACAAGGAAACACATGATTGACTTTAATAGAAGAATTTACAGATTGAAATATGCAGCAGCTTCCTGATATCGTATGGTAGATCTTACATCATGGAATGTATATGCAAACAGAGCACTGATCTGAGCAGTTGCAATATATTTACAGAATTAATTGCAGCGAGGTAGCCAGTAAATTGAGCTGCGTTCTGAGATTAAAGTCAATGTTACACTCTGGAGACTTTATACTAACCTTAGTCCCTCCAGCTGAACAAAGCATCCAAACTGCATGATGCTGGTGATTTTGCCGTTGTATATGTCACCGACAGAAGGCTCCTCAGGTGGTGGGCGGTCCACGTGTTTGTCTTGCCAGCGCTCAGAGTCTTTGTCTTGGTCTTTCTTGGGACTAGGCGAGCGCTCAGACCTGCGGACAGATTTGTCTCTTCTTTTTCCACGATCTCCATCTCTATCTCGGTGGCGATCGTGGTCTCTGGAGCGCGACCTGGACCTTGAGCGATGCCGTCTCTTCCGGTCCCGATCCCGGTCTCTGTCGTGATCCCGGTCTCTATCTCTGTATCTGTCCCGGTCTCTGCTTCTGCTGCGACTTCGGCTTTGGCGTCTGCTCTTTTCGGACCTGCAAAACAAAGTATGAAATGTAAAAAAAAGTAGAGATCACAAGCCACTATATCATCATGTCATTAAAAAGTTGAAATCACACGATGAATGTGATAGTATAGATGGTGGATGTTGCATTTTGTTTTCTAGACTTAAAGCAACATCAGTAACATGTACAATCTCCATTTCGCACTTCCAAATGTGACCTGTGTCCTCGGTCGTCTCACCTGCTCTTGCTGCTTTTGGTCTCTGTTCCACTCACACTGGGCATAAACATCTCCAGCTCTTTCATGACATCAGCAGCTACTTTCACATCATCTTCGTCAAGTATCTTCTAAGAAAGTCAATTAAACAAAAACAATTAGCATCACCGTGGCATTACATTTCACCAGTTTACATATTGTTTCAGTTTTCCATTGTATTTACAGTTAATGGCATTAGGCGGTGAACACACACGGCAGAATAGTGTGATGTTCAATCGTTTATAAATTGTAAACATGTTGCACAGCATAAATAGTAATAGTGGGATTAAAAGTCAAAGTTATAGCTCGTAAAATAATGTGTTGGAGTAACGTACCTTTGGCACTGGCTCATTTGCTCTACACAACGCAGGAAACAGCTCTTTCAGCTTGTCCTTTTCTGTCTTCGGCTTGGCCAAAGCTTCAGTTGCTGAAAATTAAACGTTATTCAATAATTGTATTGTGGATTATAAGCAAGGGAGAAATACATAAAGGTTTTTCAATATAGCATTGTACAAGGGAAGTACACATGTAGCTATATATTAAAATAATGTGAACAAGATTTAAGTGAATGATGCACATTATTCTTGATTAGATGTTATAAATAAATGTACCCCTATTTGGCAGAGAAACTATTACCTTACACTGACTATTTGACTTTGTTATGTGTATGTTTACTAAAATGTTGCTTTTTCGAGGTCAATAGGTTTAGTTTATGTATTTGACTCAGTCTATGATTTGACTACAGCAAATTGATACATCAGCTATTGAATATAAATATCTGCAACTTTGTTCAGCTTGTTTAAGAAAAAAAGAATAGATTACATAACCTCACCTTTACTCATAGATGCTTTCGATGGAGGACGCATTGTCTGGATGAGCCTGAGCAAATTACCGATGAGAGAATCCTACAATGAAAACAACAAAAACGGGAACCAACCCGATTAGTTACCACGTACAAGCTGGCTAGCGCTGGATATCTATGCTAACTTACAACGTGTAATGACTGTTAGCTTAACTTACTGTGAATTCGGCTCCATTTTGGAGCAAAAGAGCTTTAAAGCCATCGAACACCGGCTGTTTTTCAGCAAGGTCAATGACAAATTCAGCTGCAAAAAAATGACAACAATTGACAAATGAACAAGTTAACAGTCAAGATAGCCAACTCCACTAAAAGCAAATTATCACAATGATAATTTGCTGCTAAAATCCCACTTCAAGTTACGGTTTACGTGGCAAGAATCCCGAACAAAAACCTATAAACGAATATTGGAATACAAGCCAGTGTACAGTTTAATTGGCAAGGCAGCTAGCTAGTTAGCGTCAGGTAGCTAGTGGGTTAGCGGGAATAGTTCGTTTGGAGCCCAAAATACTCACCTAAATCTTTATCACTTATCCCCAAATGGTTGTCAAGCTCCGTGCAGACCTTGGACACCAACGACAAATATTCAAGCTGCGAAAGCTCGTCAACTCCCCCGTCTGCCATTCTCCACGAGTCTTGTTTTGTTCAGAGTGGGAAGACGCCAGCAGACATATTGGAAATGGGCAACTTCCACTTCCGTCTGCTTTTACGTCAAGTACGTAGGGGTTGCCAGTTATGCTCCATTATCCCTTACTTGTCGCATGATGGCGCTAAAATTCCTACCAATGAGCATTATCACCACTAGGGATGTCACGTGTAGGGTGTGTTTACTATGAAACATTAATGTGTCATTTGTGTTTTGGCAGCTGCAGTAAATATGTGTTTTATGAGGTTCAACACAAAGTGAAATAAAAATCAGTGTGTTTTCTTATTATTATTATGCTCAAGGGCCTTGTATTCTGAATTGTAGGGGCTTTTACCTAACAAATGAATGAATGTTCTGAAGGCCTACAGATCCAGATGTTCTGAAGGCCTACAGATCCACCACAACCCTTGGGATTCATAGCACACGCTAATTTTAGTCTAGCGTATCCTTGTTACCTCATTTATTTATAGTGCAATGAAGATTTTATTGAATATATTTTAGACGTTTAAAAAGTATGTTGCTAATTCCATTTTCTTATTTTTAATTGTTCATATCTGATTGTTATGGTTTGGGCTAGTGGAATTGAAAAGTTCTTCATGTTAAAGTCTCAAGTTATTCCACAAAAGTCCAAAGTCAAGCACCACAACAAGACCCAAGTCCTAAAAAAGTCATTATGCAATATTCACAAATGTTGACCATCACCTGATTTTTGTTCACAATTGTACCTCAACATGCCGACCTCAATCTCCGCAACCAGTTTTCAAATTCTTCCCGGAAGTGTGAAAGCTGCAATAGCCCCAAACGGTATTATGCCCATGGTTGAGGAGAACATTTTCAACAATCACATCTGGGTGTACTTTTCAGGAGTCCACATACTTTGGGCCATGTATAGCATATATCAAATTCTTACTAAGCAGCAGACACAAGATAAAAAGTTTTGAGGAAAACAATTAACGAATTATAAGACATACTGTATGTTTTCCACCGAGCACAGTAGTATAGCTATAAATCAAACCATGCAATCTGGAACTCTTAGCTCTGGCTCCCAATACTACTTTATCCGTGTTTCTATCTTGGCCGGTATACAAAAAGTCATTGCGAACAGGCATGATTCATGGTTTTGCACTCGCTAAGATGTTTTTGACTCATGGAGACTTGGAAGTCTTCTACTGTGGGAGAGGTGTGTACCCGTAAATCAATACTGTATGCTGTACCACTTTGTATGGGCTGTCAGGGTCATTGTAATGTATTGTGTAAGGTGTATGGTGTTTATGCTGTTGGTATGCAGGCCAGAACAGGGAGGACATCCTTCCTCCCCTCATCCTGGGATGACCCTCTCTCTAGCTCCCAGCACATCCTCATCTAATCTAATCATACGACACGCACTGTCCTCTGTCTGCTTACTCTACATATTGCCCTCTGTCAGTGTCTAGTCGGCGCTTTCCTCTTTAGACCCCCTAGCTCTAATCTCCTTTTCAAATGTAATCCTCATTACCCAGCCATAAACATGCCACTTATAGTGTGTACTGTAGCAGACTACTGCTTAATTCCTGATCTAGAAAACTCTAAGAAGATCCTGCATGACTTCACGCTCTCGCAACCTTCAAAGAAGGAGTTAACCTATGAGATTATATCTGCAATTGTCACGCTACATTATGTTACACTAGATAAACACTGAACTCCTGTAATCTCTTGTAATCATTTTTGCTTCACCTGCTTGTCATTTCTCACATTCCCACTCATGAATCTTTGAAAGGACACAGTTTACATTTGTATGTCTACCTCTGTTGACTCAGACAGTAATGGACTATCTTAAAGAAGCATACATCCTATGAAGAGGCTTTACTCGGAAGTCCCACATGATCTTTTCTAAGCACATGTATTTTTCATCTTCTAAGTATTTCTCCCCCTTGCGCTATCAAAAATACATCCTGGAACCATTTTGCTGTTTGAGATTTATGTTTTGCAAACCAGTAAAGAATTTGTTTTTGTTCTTCTTCTGTCAAGATTCATATGACAAAAGGGTAACACTTTATATTAAGGTACACAAATTAACAATCAACTAGTTGTTAATTAACATGCATATTATCAGTATATTGGCTCTCTATTCATCATTATAAAACACCTATTAATGCCTTATTCTACATGACCATATTCTACAAGTATAAGCCATTAGTTGAGAGTTTTTCCTCAATAACCCTCTAATTAGTGCTTATTTATTGCAAGTAAGGAAGTTGTTGTGCCTGAGTTCTGGTCTTAATATGCTCTGCTCAATATGGGCCTAATAAGGCAGTAATACCACAAGAATAGTAATTCTCCCATAATAACACTTAAAGGTGGGGTAGGTCATTTTGGAGAAACCAGCTCGAGTGCGCTAGAATTTGAAAATACACAGCCGGAAAAAATCTGCCACTTCCTTACAGAGCCCCTCCTCCAACACACAGGAACGCGCACATGACCAATGATGGCACGAGATACGTTTGTGCACAGATGCAAGGCTGACAGGTAGGTAGGCCATCCAGTTATTTTAGCCGGGCCGGCTAAAATGATTGGTCGTGCTTTTTACAGTACTACGGCTTCCACAGATGATTTTTTTAATGCATTTTTTGTCAAAGCACTTAAGATATTCATTGCTATCGGGATGTTAAGAGCATTCCATGGAATATAACAAAAAGTGTTTATCGAGCCGGTTTCTCAAACTTACCCCCACCTTTAACAAATATGATCTATTCTTTGGACATGAAACCATAAGTGTTAATTGTGTCCAAATAACTCAAAATTAGGTATTTATATCTAAGAATATTTTTTGGGGTATTGACAGTTCAGCTACCAATAGCAAGGTGATATTGACCTGTATGTTTCATATTTGCATATTTATATTTTTGTAAAATGTTTACTGAAGGTTAGACAGGAAACCGGGTACAGGAAGTAGGAGGAAGTGAACTGAATAGCATGGCATTAGACTGCTACTAATTTTCCCTATGCAACCTGAAGAGTAAAAGGGTCAAGTCTGTCAGAAAGCAATGACCTCATGTGTAAAGGCCCAGATACACCGGCCCGAAATCGGCAGTAAATGGGAGTCGGGCCGAACATGAGCGTGGGCACGCCCTATTCGGAGTGGTGTGCGCCGCACCGTCGGGTCTTTTTTGCCGACCTGACGCCTTTTCTTGCCGATTCAACATGTTGAATCGGCGTCGGGAACACCACCGGAAGTCGGACAAAGGGATAACACCGATTGACTGTTCAGCTAGCGAATCAGTGCATGAGAAGCGTTAACGGAAGTGAGGGAGGTAAACAAATGATTTAAAATGGAAGATGGAACACACACGGACGGCTATTTCACCTCATCGGTTTATAGAGCTCCTGTTCTTTCATGTTTTCAATGGACGAGAGTGAAAATGGAAAGAAAAACGCTATTTGTTGTTTGTTTATATCACGGAGTCTGTTCTTCTTCTCTGTCTTCCGGTTGTTGCTTCTTTTGAATGATGAATACACACTACCGCCGCCTGCTGGTAAGGAGAGTTATTGGCACTCACGCATACGCAGTTCATACGTGCTCGGCTCGGATTTGCGGTGTG